GTGAATCATAACAAATTGTGGCTGACTCTCAGAAGAATGGAAATACTAGAACACTTGATCATGCTAATGCAAAACCTATACTTGGACCAAGAGGCAGTCATCAGAACAGAGCAAGGAAACACTGCATGGCTCAAAATTGGGAAAGGTGTACGCCAGGTGTGCTGTCTCCATACCTTTTCAACCTGTATGCAGAACAGATTATCTAGGAGGCTGGGCTCTATGAGGAGAAATGTGGGGTCAAGATTGCTGGAAGATCTATCAACAATCTGCATTATGCAGATGACAAAACCCTGCTTGCTGAAACTGAGGAGGACATGAAATGCTTACTGCAGAGGGTCAAGGACTGCAGCCTTCAATATGGATTGAGGCTCGATGTCAAGAAGACAAAGATTCTCACCACTGGGCCAATTGGCAGCATCAGGATGGACAGTGAAGAGAATGAGATTTTTCCCGGCTTTAGTTTGCTTGGCTTCACAGTCAACACTCTTGGCACCAGGAGCCAGGAAATTAAAAGACATATTATGATGGGAAAGTCTTCTGTTAGGGACCTCTCCAAAGTACTGAAGAGCAATGGTATCTCTCTGGAGACTAAGGTGCGTCTGATACAGGCCATGGTCTTTGCAATCACTTGTTATGTATCAGTGAGTTGGACAATTACTAGGAAGGATAGAAGTAGAATTGATGCCTTTGAGCTTTGATGTTGGAGAAGAGTATTGAGGGTACCATGGACTGCTAAGAAAACAAACAGATTCATCCTGGAGAGGGTTAAACCGAGCTGCTCCTTGGAGGCAAGGATTCTGAGGCTTCTTCTGACATACTTTGGTCATGTTGTAAGGAGAGACCAGTCCTTGAAGAAGGACATCATGCTTGGAAGGGTGGAGGGCAGGCGAGGGGGGGAAGACCCTCTAGGAGATGGACTGATTCGGGGTAATTAGGATGGGTGTGTCAGAGACAGTGAGATTGGCACAGGACAGAGCAGAGTTTAGGGCTGTTGTACATAGGGTTGCTATGAGTCGCAAGTGACTCGACAGCACATAACAACAAACAACAACAACTAGAGAACTCTGTTGTCCTAGTAGATAGAAAATTATGCCACCAAGCTAAAGGCGGGTGATTTTAGTTTGCAGCCCTCAGGCCTAGTTTTAATTGTTTTTGGTTAAACATTCTTCTAAGTGGTATAGCACTGGTCTGTCCATTTGCTGTACAGAGATAATTCAAGGTTGCTGTGATTATAAACTCTGTGACACTGACGTGTCACATGCAATAATGGTTACCCATAGTCGACAGTGTTTGGTGAAGCCCCCCAATTATAACAAGCTTGGAAGCAGGAGTGGCATCCACTTTCAAAACAACTTGCCTCCAGAAACTCTATGAACATGAAGAAATGATTAAAGTTAAACAAGTGTTCAGATCTTTAATTCAAGGGGTCGCTATGAGTCGTCAACGACTCGACTGCACCTAACAACAACAACGCATCATTAAATAAAAATAATATGCATGTATGAACTCAAATCATTGCCAATGACTTGGAATCAATTCAGATGAACTTCTACTAGGTTTTCCAAGGCTGTAAATTACATGGAAGGCGACTTCCCATCTTTCTCCCTCAGAGTGGCTGGTGGATTCCAACTGCCAGACAAGTAACAGTTTTGGTTTAGCAGTGCAACAATCTATGGAGTACACTGTCAGAGCTTCTTATGCATATGTGCATACATGAAAATGATATCCATAATATATGTATGTTGTTGCTGTTATTATGTACTGTCAAGTTGGATCCAAGGGAGGAGATTGCCCATTTTTCTCAGCTCAACTCCTTTACTAGTAGGCCACAAGAACTCCCTAATACACATATAGCTCAACATTTTTTTTTAGCTCAACATTTTTAAACTAGCAACTATGATAATACTGTGGCCATTAAAACTGTTTTCATCCTCTAGAACTGTTGTCACTTGCCACATAATGACTAATAAGCCCTTGAATTGTGACTTATCTGAACTGAAATGTGCTATCAGTGTAAAATACAAACCAATTCAGAAGACTTTAAGAAAATACAAATGAAAAATCTTTTTAGTTATTTTTGTTTTGGTTCTATAATCAAGTAATATTTTGGATATAAATGGATGGTATAAATGGAGCAAAGTGTCCATATCAGCTGGAAGACTGGCAGGCTGGACCATCATGATTCACTTCAGACAATCAGCCTACAATCTACTTTCAAAAGCTCTCTGCTCTGAAACGTCTAAGGAGAAGTTCTACTCTCCAAATGTGGGGTTGTTATGAGTAAGAACACAGTGGCATTAACTTTTAATATATTGTTTCTACCTTTTTAATGTGACTGTTCAAAAGTTTACATGATATATGTGCTTTGAGTTCTTTTTCTATTGGGTAGTACTACATAATTTGGGAATGTGTTCAGGAGGAGACAATTCTTGGAAAAAAGATTATGCTGAGAAAGGTAGAGGGTTAGAGAAAGAGAGCCCTTCAGCCAGATGGATTGACACAGTGACTGTACGATGGACTGGAGCATACAGGAGATGGTGGGATGGAACAGGATAAGGCAAGGTTCAACTCTGTTGTTCATAAGGTTAGGATTAGTCATACTCGGCTTGATGGCACCTAACAACAACATATTATATAACTTTATGGTCAACTGATATTAAAAAGGAGTGAACTCAGTATTATAGTACTTAAATTATTTCATTAAAGATAAATTCACATGAAGATCAATCAAAAACCTCTCAAATATAAAAGAGTTCCTGCAGAAATACTGAATATGTTCTTCCCTTTTCTTTCTAAAGTCAGCTCTTTGTATATCAAGAAAACAAAACTTCTCACCACTGGGCCAACAGGCAACATCATGACAGAGGGAGAAAACATTGAAGTTGTTAACTATTTTATTTTATTTGGATTCACAATCAAAATTCATGGCAGCAGTAGTAAAAACAATCAAAAGATGTGTTAAATTAGTAAACCTACTTCAAGGACCTTTCCAAAGTGCTAATGAGCAAGAATGTCAGTTTAAAGACTAAGGTGCATTGAATCCTAGCCATGGTCTTTTCAATTGTTTCTTATGCAAATTAAAGGTTGGACGATTAATAAGGATGACATAAGAAAAATCCATGCCTTTAAATTGTGGTGTCGGAGAAGAACACTGAGTTTCACGGACTGCCAAAAGAACAAATAAATCTGTCCAGGGTGCTCCTTAGAGGAAAGGATAGTGGAACTGTCCCACATACAGTAGGTATGTTGCCAGGAAGGGTCAATCGGGGGGGCGGGGGGAATCATACTGGGGAAAGTGAAGGGTTAGAGGAAGAGAAGAAGACCCTCAATAAGATAGAATGACACGGTGACTGTAAACATGCTGCAACATTTTGGAGACTGTGAAGATGGAGCAGGATACATTTGAATCTGATGTCCAGGGTCACTGTGATAGTTGAGTTTATGGCACATAACAACAGTTTTCAGGCTTTTTACATTTGCCCCCCACCCCATATCCATGAAAAGTATTTGGAAACAAATGATATTGGAACATATATCTCTGGACTGGAAATGATGATATTGTTAATAGTTCCAGCCGTAAGCTTAAAAGATTATAATGTTCAAAATTATTTGTTATACATTTGCTTAAATTTTTCCCTCTTTTAACAACTGTGATCTAGAGGGAAGAGAAAAGACCAGAGAATGGCCAAAATTATTGGGGCAGCTATTGCTGCCAGTTTAGGGCCTGTGTCAGGAAAAGGAAGTCTTAACTCATATACAGTGCCACCCAAAGGTAATAAAGGAAGTCAGAATTGCTTCCAGTGTGGAAAGCTGGGCCACTTCAGTAGACAGTGTCACAGACGAGAGCCACAGATAGGCAAGGGAGTAGAGAGGAAGCTCCCACTCACTTGCTTTAAGTGTGGCTCTGAAGGACACTTGGCCAAGGTGGCCTACATCAGGTCCTCGTGGCAAACAGGACTGACAGGCCCCAGCTCCCAGCTGGAAACAAAGGATCCTCCCAGAAGAGCTGTGGGTGAGCATTAACATTACTGGTAAATATATTCATTTTCTCCTGGACACAGAGCCTACTAATTGGTCCTAAAAGCCTTCTGAGGTCCCAACTCTTCTCACTATCTCTTAGTTGTTGGAATGGACAGAAAACCTCATAAGCAGTTCCTTACTTCACCTCTACCCTGCATGTGAACTTCCAAGTTGTAAAACAGCCCAGTGGTAGATGGAATTTGCTCCAGAACTTAAGAAGCATAAATGACATAGCTGAGCCTCTACATCTTGTGGTTCCTAACCTGTACACTATAATAGGCGAAGTGCTAGTCTATAGGCCTTTTATTGTAAGAACCACCTTCCCTCTGTAACTTGATTTGTGCCACTACTAGAACCTCTACTCGGAATATTATTGCCTGTTAATTTTTGACTCATGTACTTTTAACTTGTTAGTTAAATGTGTGTCTTCTAGGTTGCAACACCTCCATGATACATCTTCAAGGATATGAACATGTACGGCTAAGCACAATTAATAACAGTGCATCTAAATTCCAAAATCAATCTCCATAATAGTCTATGTGTTTCCTACTGCCAGAGGGGCCCTTTAGAGTAGTGAGAGAAGATCTTCACCCTGAAACCCACAGCGTCCCTTTTCAGCAGGAAGTAGCTAAGAGAATACACCATCCCCTTTTCCTTATGAATCAGGGTGAAGTCTCTCTCAGGGAGGAGTGATAGGGAATGGCAAAGGACACAATGACAAAGGAGATTAATCAGAACTGGCTTTGACAAGCACTGCGACAACTGGACAATTAAAACAGACATCGGGGGGGGGGGAGAAGAACAAACTGGGGAGGAGGGTAGAGAAAACAGTGCAACAATGAATGAATGAGAACCCAAAATCTCTGTAAATGTTCATTAAAACTAATAAAATTTAATAATAATTTTTTTTTTAAAGTTGTCAGTTTCTGAGGAGGAAAACACCGCTACTCCCATCCCCATGATCGATTGGCACCATCTACCTGGATAGGCACACTGCAGCAGAGCCACCGACTTGCCTCCTGGGGCAGCACACAGATCCAGCACCTTTTCTCCATCCCTTAATTCCAGAGCCAGGACTGGGAGAAGAGAGGCAGCATTCAAGAGGTAGTACTTCTTCAGGCTTCCCGTTTTGTGTCTTTCAGATGGCATTCGGTCAGGAGTTTTGCTAAGATAACATTTCAATGATTCAGGATAATTAGGCAAAGATCCTTGGAAGAGTGTATAATTGCCCTTCATATGTAAATCCTTTTCCAGTTCAAAAGGATAATTGAATCGGTTAAACAGGACCGCATACTGCCAGCACGATGGAGATGTGAGTATAGTCCTAGAAGCAGGGAAAGATAGAGAGAGAAAACATTAATATTAAATACAGAACACTGTCATATACAGAATACAGTTTCACATCCATAACTGAATGAACAAGAAACCCTGGTTGTGTAGTGGGTAAGAGCACTGTTGTTTTTATTGTGATTATATGTCGTTGATTTAACTACAATTCAAAGCAATGATATGAACAAAATCTGCACCCTGCCTGTCCTGTGCCATCCTCACCATTTCTGATATAGTTGAGTTCACTGTTACATACACAGTATCAGTTCATCTTAATCTGCTAACCAAATAGCAGTTCAAATCCACCATCTATTCCATGGGAGAAAAATCCATTTCTGTACAGACTTACAAAGTCGGAAAGAAAGCCCATGCAGCAGCTATACTCTGACCAAAAAGTGTCACTATGAGTGATAATCTAATGAAAGGCAATGAAAATTTGATTAACATGGTCCTAGTTTCAATTTCTTAGATGATAATTTCTGAGAAAGAATCAGTATTACTTACTTTCCTTTTTGTCTTAAGGTCCAACATGGCTCAGCCTGCTTGGTATTCTTAATGATCCTCTATTTAAGTATTTTCTATTTTGCCATCATCTATAGTGTATATTAGTTTCTATTTTTAAAATAATGCATTGAAATATTTTTACCTTGTTTACTATTATTTGTTGTAGTGTTTCCAGAGGCATGTTACTTAGTAAGTGGATGCCACTCCCTCTTCCCTTAAATTCTGCATATGGCAGGGAATGGGAGAAATCCCTCATTTGTCCCACTCTTCATCTCAACCTTACAAAGAATCTTGTCAGCTAGCTGCTCCATGGGAGAAGGATAGGCAATCTACTCATGTGTGAGGAACTGCCTCTGAAAATCCATTAGAGGCTCAGCTATGGGTCCGTTCTGACCCGAAGGCAAACAACTCTTTGCATAAGGGAGCACTTGTGAGCCAGTAGGCAAGGAGTTATGCTGTCAACTCAAAGACATGAGGTTTGTATCCACCAATGACTCAGCAGGAGAAAGATGAACAAACTCCTCCCGTGCAATTCAGAGCTTCCGATATCCAATGGAGGGTCAGATACGGATTGGTTCTTCCAGCAGTTAAGTTTAGAGATTTAAAAGTGTTTGCAGTAAATTTTCCTCGGAGGAAGACAAGCTAATTCTAGGGAGCTCCACAGTAATATCAGTGATCTAAATGACACAAACCAAAGGCTGACTTTAAAGTCATTTATGGATTGATGGTGGAGCCTTCCTCTCTGTATCTTACTTTCTAAAATCTGTTATTGAGTCCAATAGTTATAGCTTTTGATAGTCACAAACTCACATCCACTGACAGATAATACAGCAGGAAATACTGCATGTGTTAGCTGACCTTTCTAGCTGAGTTACTTGGAAGCCTCATTAACCATGGTCAATTAAATAAATTCCAGCTGCTGCTCATACTGGAGTTGTCTACATGAGGAGTGGTGAGATGGAAATGAACACCTGTGACTCAAAGTAAGCGTATGAATTACAATTAGAAGATAATATGTTGATGCAAGGAAGTAGGAAGGTTATAAGAAAAAGGCTAACGAACCAGCTTATGTGATCTAAGAAGTTGGGAAAGCAAGAGAAACAGCTGAAGGAATCACACACACCCACATGCAATCTAGCAACCTAGCTTACATATATTTACATACACCTAGCTAAGCATTTGCTAAAGTATAAAGTTACGAGAAACATCAATGGTTTGACACTAAGTGGGCACTGTTTTAACATCTAAGGGGTATTGCCTTAACTAACATAACATGGAACAAAGTGTTTTTCAGAAGGCAAACAAGACTGGATGAAACTGGGTCAGATCCCTGAGCCCAGTGCAGACCAGGGACCTGTCACCAGCACAAGGAAGGGAAGGGCTGAGGGCAGCAGAGGTGGTACCTGTGGCCACTACCAGGAGACGAAAGGCGGACCCTGAGCCCAGTGCAGACCAGGGGCCTCTGGCTACCACTAGGGGCCGAAAGGCTGATACTGAGCCCAGCACAGAAATGGTGCCTGTGGCCACCACCAGGAGACGAAAGGCTGACCCTGAGCCCAGCACAGAGATGGCGCCTGTGACCACCACCAGGAGACGAAAGGCTGACCCTGAGCCCAGTGCAGACCAGGGACTTGTGGCCACCACCAGGGGACGAAAGGCTGACCCTGAGCCCAACACAGAGATGGTGCCTGTGGCCACCACCAGGGGAAGAAAGGCTAACCCCGATCCCAGCACAGAGTTGGCACCTGTCACCAGTACCAGGACACGAAGAGCCAACCCTGAGCCAAGCTCCGACCAGGTACTGGCCACCACCAGGAAGCAAGGGACCGAACCAAGTGCAGAGAAGGGTTTAGTCACCACCATGAGGAGACGAAGGGCCAACCCAGAGCCCAGTGCAGAGCAGGTGCCCATCACCACCACCAGAAAGCCAAGGGCTGATCCTGACCACAGCATAGAGAAGGTAACAGTCATCACCACCCGGAAACAAAAGGCTGACCCAGAGCCCAGCACAAAAGAGATGCCCGTCCCCACAACCAGGACACCAGGGTCTGATCCAGAGCCCAAAGGAGAACCGGTACCAATCACCACCATCAGGACCCGAAGGGGCAACCCCGAGCCCAATGCAGAGAAGACATTTGTCACCACCACCAGGAGACAAAGGACTGACCCTAAGCCCAGTGTTGAGAAGGTACCAGAAGCCAACAGCACAGCACCAGGATCTGATGCAGAGCCCATTGCAGACAAGATGCTGCTCAATACCAGAAAGCGAGGGGCTGAGCCCCAGCGCAGCAAGGAAAAAGAATCTGTCACCGCCATCAGGACACACAGTACTGACCCTGAGCCCAGTGCAGAGAAGATCCTGGGCACCGCCTCCAGGAGGCGAGGGGCTGGGCCCAGCACAAAGAACACCTCTTTGAATAAGACTGGTGACCCCTCCAGGGGAGTCTCAGAAGATAAAGTCCCATTGCTGGGAACTCGATCCTCAAGGCTGAGGTCTAAAAACCAGACGAAACCGGAGGGCACAGAGGAACCTACTGAGAAGATTCATTCAAACCAGGGTGATGGAAGAGCCCTGCCCAGAGCCACGCGTGGGGCCAAGAGAGGTGCTGCCCGAGGCCTGGTCCCTGGAGACCCGGAGCAGGATGAGGATGCCGTCGCAGCAAAGAGGGTCAGAAGAAGATAGTGAGCCAGTGACGACGGGGTGCAGAGAAGCTGGGGAAGGGAGAACGTGGCCTGTCAGTTTAATAAGAAGTGTCTCCCCATAGTATTTTTCTACCATAAAATTTCAAAAAATAATGTAATGAGTTTAAATGTTCATTTTTACATTCCATTAAATGTTTTTGGTAAAAAAAAAAAAATTAAAAAAAAAGAAACTGGGTCAGATGTATATGCAGGAGTTACCTGACTGAGCAGTGACCTAACAGCAATTCAAAGAAAGGTGTGGGGTTTGAACCAGAGGCCAAGGTGAACTATGCCTACGCCATCTTTCCAAAAACAGACGGCTACCACATCCCAGACCTCTCTGTACTCTATTCCATGTGAAGTTGTGCACAAACACAAAAAAGAAAGGATAGTTGCAAGCTGTGTAAATATCATACCTTCCTCTACTCTTGAAAAATTATGCCCTCTGGGAAGGGGGGGGAGGGTAAAGGAGGAGGAAAGACCTAGAAAAGCTGTGAATATTTGATGCTTAGAGGGACACACCTGTGTTCCTTCTAGGCCCTGGGTGTCCTCCATCTTCAGGATTTTCTTATTCTCTATTGAATCTACGCCTTTTCTACGGAGCTTTCCTATTCTCTTAATAAACCTGTGTCTTTCCTTCAGCAAAGTGGCCTGACTTTCTGGTCATTAGTTAGACCTGCTGTCCCATTCAGCAACAATGTGACAAAGATTTCTCCTTTCAGTGGTTCTTTTTATACATGGCAAGTGAAAGGAGCCTGGTGTATCTATTTTAGCTATTCTGGTGGAAAATGCTGTCTTTAAGAAAGTGGGTCACTGGCTGTAGCATGAATCAAGGAAAAGTTGTAGTGGCTTAAAGTTCAACTCATAGCAACCCCAAGCATTGCAGAATAGAACAGCACGCCATAGAGGTGTCACAGCTGTGATCTTCTGGAAGAGAATCTTCAGGCATTTCTTCCAACCCACCTCTGAGTGGGTTCAAACCATCAATCAGTCAATTGGTAGTTGAGCATGTAATCACTTACATTCATTGTTCATAGGGTCACTGTGAGCTATATTCCACTCAATGGCACTAACAACAAGAAAGACCTGTAAAGAAAATTGGCCTCCATCTCTAAAATATCTGATTTAGTAGGTCTGAGATGGAACCAATGATTTTAATTTTTAACAATTTTCCAGGTGATTTTGATTCTGTTAACCTCGAGACTCTTTAAGAACCAATACTTTAAAATAGAAAAAAAAATGTAACGCAATGTAAAATTTATGAATGCCATTATTATAAATATTTTTCCAGTCCTTCATAATCTTAATCTCCAGAGTAGAACAAAATCTAGGCAGTCTTGAGTTGAATACTGACAGGGAACTGGTGAGAACATAATCTATGCAGATGGAAATGGCTAAGCTACATCATGTTTTTTAATAACAAAGATATAAAGTAGTCAAATTAACAGGGAAAACTCTTAGTTACTTTTCAAACTTTCTCAAGATATTCTTGAATGTATATGCTTTCAGATTCATTTTAAAATCAAATGGTTTTTAAATAAAAATATTGACAAGATATACTTGATTGTGCTAATGTGAAAACTATTTGCACCACAAAGCAGTCATCAGAACAGAGTAAAGAAACACTGCATGGGTCAAAATCAGGAAAGTTGTACGCCAGAGATGCATTCCTATCTCTATACCTTTTCAATCTATATGTGGAGCAGATTGTCCCGGAGGCAGGGCTTTATGAGGAAGAATATGGCATCAAGATTGGAGGAAAACTCATCAACAATCTGTGTTATGCAAATGATACAACCCTGCTTGCTG